GCAGACCCGAGTGAGATCACCAACTTCAAAGGGGCTACCTTCGAGGAGTACCGGAAGACTGCTCCTAACTATGAGTACAGCGGGGAGGGAGATGATCGAAGGATCCTTCCCAAGAACACTCCGATAGACATGGAGAAGTCGTTGCCAGCCGAGGTAGCGCTCTTGATTCCGAGAGCAGTGGCCACGCAGAAGGAGGCTGAGGAAGCCGAGAGGGCCGCGATGGAGGCCATCCGCGGGGACTATAGGCTTCCGGACGTGGGTCAAGAAGACAGGGAGAAGGTTGACCCTTACACCGTGACGGATGAAGACTTGGCTGCGTCGGTAGACGCGTTGACTAGGAGGTTGAGCAACATGCCTGAATGGTCGGGCAATCTGATCGACCCTGCGAAGTCTGCTGAGCTAGTCGCGGCGAGATGGGGCGGAAAGGCGAGTTATGACAAGCCTGAGGCTCCTCTGACTGAGGCTGGGATGAAGAGTGCGTCATTGGAGGATCGTGCCTATGCCCTGTCGCAGCTGAATCAGATGGTGAACTTTCACAAGAAGCACCTATGCTCTGGGCGAGGAGCGCCTATGGTGAGTGCAGCTGCCCCCAGTGGACCCTTTGCTCCTGATCAGCTGGATGATAGCAGGAGGTTCAGACCTAGTGAGGCGGCGAGCAAGATGACTTACAATCTTGTGATACTGGATGGGAGGAAGGATTATCTTGCCGATAGGCGGGAGATCAATCCAGAGTTGAGGGAAACTGGAGTTATCCCTGATGAGGCCGTTACTTGCCAGATTGTGGTTCCCTCGAAGACAAGGTTGGGCGAATACCTCCCGAACTACGAGGAGACCGTGGGCACCGTTGCAGGGCGGGAGGCGGCTAAGGAGTTGATGAGACTGCTCTCGTGCGATTTCGAGGGTCTGGTCATCAATTCAAAGAGAGGCTGGAAACTGGGTGAAAAGTGACCAGGCCATCTGGTTCCTGAAGGAGATCTCGGGCATGGAGAACGCTGAGATGTCTTGGAAGTTCTTCATTCCGACGCTCAAAGCTTTCCCGATAGGGCAAGTTGAGGCGATGCTCATGGTCATGTACGACGGGAATGGTGTCCTCCTCAAGGAGAGCACTAGGTTAGTGGCCGTTAGGCACACGCGGATCGGACGCGACATGAGTTACAGTGCCGTTAGGCATAGGTACACTCAGGAAGATGCACCTGGCGGATCTCTGATGTACGAGATGCATTGGAATGAACTCCCCATGGTGGGGTACGTCATCATGAAGTTCTCGGACTTTCGGAAGGCGGTTCAGCTCCAAAGGGTGAGGCGAAACGGAAAGGCCATGATCGAGATATTGATCACGAGGCCCGATGTGTACGAGACCATTGGGGATGGTAGGCAGGATGAGGGCCTGATCCCACTTGTGGGAGCCATGGCGCCGGATGCCGAGGTATCGCCTTCGTGGTATGTCAGAGACAGGCTGCGGAACTACTCCGGTAGGTACGTGGTGGTAATGGTGGACCTTCGGGTGCACTGGTCCTTGGTTGGGCCCGTGTTTTTGACAAGAAGGAAGACTCTTGCCGTTAGGAACGAGATCCACATGGGAGCTTGGAAGGCGGCATACATGTACGATGATTACACGATAGTGTACCATCGGGCATGGGACTATGGTGACTTCACCCCCGTTAGGGGAGAGCACAGGCGTTCGCGGGAAGAGGTCAGGTTGAATGTGACCACCACGTTCTGTTTGAGGTGCGCGGAGATGACGCCAAATGGGATGCATTTGTGTCCTGGGTGCGCGCTCCCGGTCTTTTACCCGAACTTTATCCCCAACGCGGAGGAAAAGGACTTCGAGAGGTGCCGCATCGTACCGGAGTGGGTGAGGTCCATGGGGCAGTTCAAGCCCAAGAGAATCCCCTCCGAAGTGGTCGGAGTCATCAAGAGGAACTTGATTTCCTATTCGATGGCGTCTGATCTGAGGATGACGGTGCAGAGTGGCATCAGACTGCCCCCTTATCTTGGTGAAGACAAGGGAGGAGTCGATACGGCATGGGATGAGCTGGCGAAGGTGTTCTCCTATGTGTCGGGGATTTCGGCCTCGGATGCATTCGTGGAGAAGTGGGTAGCGAAGCACCTGATCTTGACCAACCAAGTCGATAGATTTGAGTCGGTCACGGAGTACTTCCGGGCTAACCCAAGGCATGCTGCTCAGTGGGGTAGGCGTATGACGACTTCCGTCAGGAAGTTTGCTCGCCATGACACGTACTTGTCCTTCTATATTCCGATGGCATACGTGATTGGCTCCGCGGCTGGTCATCTGACCCCATTGTATCCGACCCATCGGAAGGACGTGGACATCCTGGAAAGTCATGCGTTGATATCGCAGCTCAGGCAGTACATGGTATCGGAGACAGGGCACGATGAGAAGAAGAGGTTGAAGGAGGCGATAGCCAAGGTGCAGAAGGCGATCAGTGCCGGACAGTCGGAGCCTCCCGCACCCTTCCGCGACCCGTTCGTTTCCGTCAGTGACGAAAGGGTGAGGACGGTTCTTGATGGTCGTCAGCCCGAACCATTAGACGTGGACATCGAGGGACTTCAATCGGTGCATCATGCTGCGCCGGGTCCTGGTCCCAAGCAGGAGCCGGTCATCAAGGGCGGAAAAGGAAAAGGAAAGAAAGGGGAAAAGGGCGGTAAGGGCGGTAGTCCTTCCGGCCCTCCACCGAAGTCAGGTGAAGTGCCAGGTAAAGGATCTGGTAAGGGCGGTAGCCCATCTGTCCCAAAGGCAAAAGCAAAGGATGATGCTGGACCAGCTCCGATGGAGGTTGATGCGGCAGCGGCTCAGCCGAAGAAGACTTGGGTCGCGATAGCGGTTGAAGGGGCCAGGCCGAGTGCGAAGGCTAAAATGACCCCGATTCCCAAGGCCGAGCCAAAAGGGAAGGTCGCTTCTGTGTCTGAGGCGAAGAGTGCTCCGGCTCCGAAGGCTGAGGCCAAGGAGACGAAGCAGGCCGAACCAAGAGTTGAGGTCAAGAAGGAGAAGGTAGGCGGAGACGACGCTCCTGGCGGTAGTCGGGGGTCGGCTGAAGGACAGAAGAGAGAAAGGAAGTCCCGTTGGGATCCTGACGAGACTGTGAAAGAGTCAACGAAGCGAGAGGCATCGACAAGGCCTGATGACGTTGACAGCAGACCAGGTGCGGCAGCAAGGGAGGCTAGTGGAGATGATCTTCATTCCGCGCTTGGCAGATCTTCGGCAAAGGATGCGGTAGCGCCTTTGACGGCCTCCAAGGCGATGGCAAAGAAGCCTGAAGGCGGTGAGATCAGGTTGCAGTCGGCTGAGCGAACTGCGGCGAGCCTGGTGGAGGGTCACTTCCTGATGCTGCCTGAGGGTTCGGTGGTGGACGCTTTCTTGTCGATCTCCACCAACAGAGTGCTGAACAAGCAAGTCAGGGATTTCATCAGAAATGGTGAGGACGCGTCAGCACTGGAGGCTCTCAACCAGATCGTGACGAACTCTCGCTCTGGGAGGAGGCGTAGGGAATCGGATGTTTCCCGTACTCCTTCTTGGAGGTCCGTTAGGACCGTGGACACCAGGGATTCCAGAGAGTCGAGGAGGCGCAGATACCGTCCACGGCGCGAGGATGATCGAGACCGGAGGAGGGACGATGCTCGTGATCGTCGTGATGATGATTCACTCGATCGGGAGCGAGATCGAAGGCGAGATGATCGCAGGAGATCCGAAAGGGATCGTGATAGGGACCGTGCGCGGGGCGGACGTGACCGGAGGAGACGTGACGATAGCCGGTAGGCTGAGTCACGAGGATTGCGGCCGATAGGCTTGCGTCCATTCTCCAATGGTCGGCGCGGTGCGGAGGTGATGATGTTCCTCCCGGACCGCTGAGGCGCGGAGGTCATGTCTCTCCCATACCGCTGCTGGGCTGCTGGACGTGTTCATCAGGAAGCAGTGTGAGTGAGAGGGAAAGCAAACTGATGGGGGGTTACTCCCGGGTTTGCGGAATTCAAGCATTTTTCAGGTACGCATGGTCAGGAGTACCTCTTGCCGTTAGGCGAGGGTACTAATGGACATACGTTATCTTTTATTTCATGGCTTCTGATAAGAATTAAACTTCTTGCATTGTTGATGCAAACAGTTGTGACCTAGTGTCGTCATGTGGACCTTTCCACAAGGTATGTTGGACAGCGTTACCCCGATTAATTCGGGGTGGTGGCGGGAATTTAATGCCCGGGATGTCGCGCAACTGCCTTTGTGGGTTTGCTCCACCGCTGACGGCGGTAGTGTCCAGCTGTTTGCGGACACATGCGAGCAGTTAAATCCTATCAGTAAATGGCACGCTCCACCCGTCATATGACGGGCTCCTCGTGAGGGGGGTGTGATTAGCCATGGTTATATCATCATCAGGGACGTCGCGTTAGTGACCGACCTGTGGTGTTTTGGCTCAAGTTTTGGGTTCCGTCGCGCCTCGAATGGGCGTCGCCGAACCCCTGCGTCGACCGACGGCATCTCGGGGGAGAAAGAGACCTCGGGCCGCCGCCAGGTTGGTAGGGACCAGTCGTGCGGCCTGTTGTCGACCAAGGTTGCGGGTTAACCCTTTTCTTGTTTGGTTTGTTTTCCTTTGGTTGTTGTTCTCTGGTGTGTGGGAAACCCTGATCTTTGGGACCGGGGATTGGTTTGTTTTTGGGGAACCTTTCTTTTGTGGCTTGTTTACCCCAACTAACCCATTGCCTGGGCACAGGCTCGTGCCCGAATCACATAGGGTTTACTCACTGCGTAGCATTCAAACATGAGCCGCGCTCGCCAAATTACCAGTGAACCATGGGGTTAAAATCCATTGCCAGTTGGGAACACAATTCATATTGCCCTCTTTGTTTGGGAACTCCTTCCACTCAAGCGCGGGTGTCTAAAGGGAGACCAAAAGGACACTGAAAGGAAACTACGACCATTCTCTGGGCTCCATCATTGCCGCTTACCGCGACACGTTTCACCAAGCCTCGGCTTTTCGGCCCCTCAGGAGGAGAAGCCTCAGTTGCCGCCTTTGCCGCGCATGGAGCCGATCGACACTGGCAGCGCCACAATGCGCGTCGTGGAGGAGGCAGGGTTTGCAGTTGTCCAGTTGTCTTTTGCAGGGTGGTTCGGTTGGTTATTCCACCAGTTTGGTTGGTCTCAAACTTGGGACGTCCCAAAATGCGTGCTCTTTCTTTGGTGTTCTCCCTCGGAACAACAACAGAAGCATCAAAAAAGCACTCTCATGTCCGTGTTTTTTTCCCCCAGCTGGAGGACAGTTCCTTGGGGCTTTGCTTGAAATCAAACAAACGTAGGGTGTGTCTGAACGGCAGCCTTTCCAAGTGGTTGGTTTCCCTTGGTTTACTTACCTTCGAACACCTACAACGGAGGGCAAGCCATTTTGAGACCACTTTTTTCAGATGTTAATGGGTTGGTTCCGTCGAATTCTGCTTGAAATGATTCGAAATTCTCATCTGCATTGGACAAGCAGGTAAACCTTGTGACCGTTGGGAAGCCGCTCCTTTTGCTTTTCCAACCCAAGGAGGGTGGTATTCTGAGCCAAGCCGGGGGAGGGGGGGGGTCGGCCGTTTTTGGTGTGGAGGCAGATGGGGTCATGGGCTGGTCTTGGCAAAGATGGATTCCTAGAAATGGCATTCCCTCTCCTCTCTCTCTCTCTCTCTCTCTCTCTTCCCTTTGCGGATGTTTTGAGAAATCCTGCAGATGCGTGGAGGTCGTTGATGAGTGAAGTCAAAGGACCGAGACAGCCGCCAAACCTGCAAAACGCATCACACTCACCGCAATCTCAACACCAACTTTGCTTGGCCGATGTTCAAGCGAAGTTCCGCAAGATCAGTGAATCAGGGATTTTCCGTAGGCCGTGTCTGTCAATTGGACCGAATTGATTCCCCGCGGGCACTTTGCCATCTCCAGAGTTATGCAAGGCTTCTTGCAGAAGAAGACACACATTCCCCTTTTTTTGGCGTCGGGAGTCCCACGCTCGCCTAGGACTCCGGCCTGGTGCGGGTGGACTTCGGGCTCCACTCGCAGCCCTTGACCGACCAGGTGGTCGAGGCAGGCCAAGTCGCCGAGTTTGAGATGCGTTTTAAAAAGGGCAGAGCCCCCCCATTTTTCCCCAAACAAAAGATAAAGCAAAAAATAGGTGGGTTCCTTATGGTGTCCCTTAAAGAACGAAGCCCACCCCCAAGTATCCACGATGGGTATCAAACCCCAACAACCAGTTGCCACTGTTAGAAAGGCGCAGGTGTTGGGAGATGGCTTCGGGCGCTTTGCCCGTTGCGGGCGCGCTTCGCAAACCTCCATGGACCCAACATGTTTGGCGCACCTGCTTGCGGCACCAGCGACCTCCGAGACATCGTCAGTTCCAAAATATGGCCAAATGCCATGGCACAAGCAAGAGCGGGTTGCTTTCGACAGCCAGCCCATCGACCCCTGAAAGGAAGGCACAGCGAAAATGCTGGAGCAAACCCTTGAGTACCAATGGTGAGGTCCGTTCCTTTGAAGCAGAAACCAAGGCCGTGAGTGGGGGCAGTGATCGGTGTTCGTGCGATTTTAATATGCTCTCTTTGGGGTTGTCCCTTCAAAGACGCCCATAGTTTCTTTGGTAGTCAAAAAGGATGCCCAATGCAGGAATCGATTTTATTTGCAGGTTCCCCATTCTTGCCAGTTCCTTGAAAACCGCCTGGTTGTCTGGCGCACCCCCCCTCCCCAATGTTGCAACACCAACTGCGGCACTCTGAGTGCTACTGGATGGACAGAATCCTGCATTGGGACTTGGATAAGCCATCTGCCTGGTGCAGGATTCTATCCACAGGAGTTTACGTGTTTATCGATGGCAAGAACTCCATGGCCCCCGGTTGCTTTGGTCTCCGGGCAATTGTAGCAATTGGAGGAGCTCATGGAGACCATGCGCGAGGGCATTCGAGAGATGGCGCGCAGGCGCGGATTCGAAGGAGAACCAGCGAAAGCCAAGGACACTTTCAGGCTGCGCATTTGGATTTGCTCTTTGTTTTTTGGAGGAAGTTTCCCTTTGACATCAACTAAAGCCAAAATGCTCGTTTTATTCCCACGTTTCTTTTGAAGGTACCCTTCTTCTTTGGGTGGGTTAAAACGGAAACCAACAGGAAGCCGCCATTTTGCGGAGTTTCCCCCCCCCATTTTGCGACACACCTTTGCGCACCTTCAGGCCGGATGCAACGATGCTCTTCACCTTCACTCTACAGGGCGCTGCCATCCCTGCCATGCGCCACGTGAAGCGCCTGATCTCCCTCTCGCTACTCGGAAGCCATGGAGAGACATGCCCCGAGCCTCAGAAAATTGTATTGGCGCTTGCTGTGGTTTCCCTCCAGGAGCCAATTTTCTACGTGCCAGGGTGTTTGGAGCAACCCTGGAGGAAGAATGTCCAGATTCGGTGCTGCCTAGTGTGGCCGTGGACGTTGCAACATGAAACCCTCGCCAGGCCTGACATGTTGATCAAAACCAGAGCAAGCATCCCGTTGTCCTGTGGCACACCTTTTCGGAGCGCGTTGCCGGTGCACTTCTAAGAGGAACTCAAGATTTTAACTAGGAGCTGCCAGTGCCCCCTTTGGTCCTTTTGCTTTTTGACGTTTCGACATCCGTTTCAATGACACCATCCCTCACTTTGGTGTTTGACTTCACTGGGGTAGTTGTGAGAGAGCTTGTCTGGGCCCGCCTCTGGCCCGCCTCGGCCCAAAACCCTGGTTGATTGGTTGATAAAGGAGGGCATCATATTTGGGATACATTGGACTTAAATACCAGGCACATGTTTTGAACAAAACCGTGAGCATCCCTCAACTGTAGAGTTGGACCATGGCAGAAATATTCAGATGCATTTTCGGCATGGTCACCCTTGTGAACGGCACCCTCACTCACTTAGCGGATCTCAGGCACGAGATCGGGGAATTGCTTTTCCTGGTGGCGCGGGGTTCGGCATCCCGACCGGAATAGGATGGGCTCGGCGAAGGACAGGAACTCCATTCCCAAAGGGGCTTCAATGGTCATCCAAATGGACGGCTCTTTACATTCTGCAAAAAAGAAATTGGGCCACACACTGTAGAAGAAGGACCATCGAAATTGTGACAAGCTCCTCGTTGGTTAGAGGGCAATTTGTTGTGAAAGACGGGACACGATTCCAAAACTAAGCTGACACTGAACCACTGCATAAACATCATTAGAAAGGGGGAGAACTGCAAAGGTTCACCTAATCTTTTTGCATCTGCTTTCTGGAGTTTGGCAAATCAGTCACTATACAGCCGAATTCCAAGGGACCTACGATTTTATGTTAAATCGGTTTGGTTATTAACACCCCTTCTGAAACCGGAAATTGAGCCGAGCTGGGTCCTAAGCAGTTTGCAGGCTTGCTTCCAATGGGTTTCTGAACATGAGACCCCCTTTTGCAGTTAAAACACACACGTCTCAGGTTATCCAAGAGCGGACTTCTAAACAAAACAATACGCAGCGGGTTTGACCGAGACCTGTTGAAAAGTTAAAGGGGCTTCTTTGACCTTGATTTCAGGGAGTCAGAGCCCAACGAGGGTCATCATTCTGTCACTTGCAGTGACCATGGGTGCAAGTGAACCGGAACTCCCGGATCAAACCAAATACCAACCAGTCACTGGTGCAACTAACAGAAGGACCCCCACACACACACACACACCCATCTACGTAGAGACATCTCCGTGTTCTGCCAACCAAACCAACAAGCGTACCACGCTCACTCCCAGACCCTCGGGCACTTTGCTTGCATGTTCAATTCAGGGTTGCCTTGTGACCCTCTAGTCTTTGCTTTGGTTGAACCTGAAGAGGGCTACCCTTTCTTTGGCAGTTCTTTTAAACTGTCACAGAGATTCCTTTATCTTCCAAGGGTACACTCGTTTAATGCCCATGTTCATCACCAACTGCAAAACCGGGGAGGTCTGTTTGTGAGTGTTTCTGGCCTGTTTTTGTCACTGCTTGATTTGCCAGCGCGTCTCGTGCTTTCTTTTCAAACTGCGGGTTCCAAGGTAATCCTAAACTATTGGTGCTTTGGATTCGTAGTTGAGGGGTTGAGCCTGTGGTTCTTGTATAGGGTTCAGGGAAGCCACCCCACCTCCAAACCATCCAAACCACAGTTAGACAGGGTTCCCTGAAAACCTTGCAGTTTTCAATCATCACCTGGGTTAATCTTGATTGAGTTTCCTTTTGGGATTTTCTTTGACGCAGAAATGTAGGGCGCCCATTTGAACGGAAGCTCAGGCGATGATCCTTCGGCCTCAGGGCTTCCTTGGCAGCGCCATGGTGGCCATCGTGCGCTTTGTACAGACCGCCGCCGCTGCCCCCTGGCCAGCGGCTCGACGGCAAGCGCAACTCCGGCGAGTGCTGAGGGCGAAGCTTGTTAGGAAGTCGCCAATGAATTCGCAAATCATTTGGCAGTGCTGTCTACTTTTTTCCAAAGGACAGCTAGGGGCCGGAGTGTGAATCCCGGATCAATCGACATGCACACCCTATGGGACACCCGCCTCAATCAGTCAGGGGCTTCCATTAATGCAAGCAAACCGTTGACGCCCCAAAAGGGTTTCAAAAAGCAGAGCCCCGTTGTTTTCTTGGCTATTGCAAGTAGACCAACCACAGCTGGTGGTAAACTAGAGAGAGTTTCCTTACTCTCAAGAGAATCAACCGAACCGTGGATGGAATATGTGTACGTATTGTGTTTTGTCATCAAAACCGTGGCTTTGACTATTTAGTGTCTTGCTCGCCCAAAGCGAATGCTGGCTGTCCAATGTTGAACTGCTAGTGATGGCATGCTAAAGGGTGGTCGCCTTCTGTTACAGGTCCTTCGCTTAGCGAGTATTTCATTAGGAAAGCACCAGTTTGGACATCATGACTGGGTCGGACTCCCGACAGCGCAACATATCAGCCTCGTTGCGCTTCAAAGGCCCCTTCCGCCATTTCCCCCCTTGTCCCATGTTGAATATGGTATTGGATTGATTTTGCCAACCGTCTACCTCAAGCTGCACCACAAATCACTGGGATGCCATGCCTCCCTTTTTGGCTATATACATATATGTGTGGGCTGTACAGTTTGGAGATATTAGGGGTACACACATGGACCGTGGAGCATGAGACTTTTCGTCCCCTATGATTCTATCCCAACGGGGTTAATCTGGTCAAATTTATACAACCAGCTGCCCTATGATGAGGCCGCTTACTTGGTTCAGGTTTATGATTTGCCGAGATTTGTGCCGACTTTCTCGGGGACTTGCTCATTTGAATATTTTTACAGGACCCCTTTTCAGTATTGTACCGCACTTGGTCTTGGGTGGTTTGCTTCCAATATGCAGTCAACCTCATCCCTTGCTGCTTTGTTCCTTGTCTTTCCTACAGTTTTTGTTTCGGAGAATCTCAATAGAGGGTACTGCTCGATAGATGTTCATGTTTCAAGGCTTCCCCTTCAGCTTTGCAGGATTTCAAGTTGAGGGGCTGGGCATGCTGAAGAAGCTCTCCGTTCAGATGTGTGCCATGAGCCATTCCTTTCCCGCCTCCCGCAACAGATTTGATTGTGTCAAACACACGAGACGGGATCGGAATGTGGACGTGGGGTACTTCACGAAACACCATTTTTAGTCCTGATGAAAAGAGACAAATGCGTGTAACTCAGTACTCAGCCCCTCGTATTAATCAGTTGGATCCCTCCCAAACATCCTGTTTCATGTTGGATTCCTCGCGAAGCTATCTCAGACAAAGGTTCCACGATCTGTGCCTTCCTTTTGGTTTCCCTTTGAACCCCCCCCAAAACAAATAGCCCAAAGAAGGGCACTCCCCCATTTTTCGCTGCTTGCCCAGGAGACCATAGTTCCAACCATGGAAGAAGCAGAAGCCTTCCTCCTCACGCTTCGCCCGAGCTGCCTGTCACCCAGCATGAGGGTGTCTTGGCGAAGCAAGCGCGTTTGGAAACCTTCGGTGTCATTTTTGTGTTTGTGTGGGTGCGTGCGTGCCTGCCTGCAGGCCTGCGTGTGTGCCTGCCTGCGTGCCTGCGGGCCTGCGTGTGTTTTGACACATGCTATGTTGTCAACCACAGGTTTCGCTTTCAGGGGTGTCTGACCCAAAGAACGGGGGTTCTTGTCAACATAAGCGACCATGAAACAACTATTCGGTGGGTCCAACATGCTTTGATACTCCCAATTTGCTCCTTGAGTCGCTAACGTGGAAAGGCCGGTTCAACGTTTGGCGAATCCCATCATATCTTCACTTGTTGCCGAATCATGTTGGAAGACAATCCTGAGTTGCTTCTGGTGGGTTGAAGGATTACCAAGGCGTCAATTTGGAAGCTTCAAGATGGCCTATGGTCACAAAGCCAATTTGTGTTACGTTTGCGGCTGTATACAGAGTTCCCCTGGGCGTTGCGGGATGGCAAGAAAGTGCGTCGGTTTCAAGAGCTGCTTGTCGGTCCACCAGAAGATGAGCCGCTAGTAGAAAAAATGTCCGCTGCTCACACGAGCACATTGCGGTAGACATGCTGTCATTTTGCAGAAGACCAACCGGCATGTCCTTCCTTCGAAGCAAGCAAATGGGCAATACTGTAGACCCTGCTAATGTGCTTCTTGGAAACAAGAAGAAGTTCGTAGAGCTCACACAAGTCGAAGTTCCCTCGCTTAGGGATCCCTTACGTGTCGAGGGGTTGGATCTGTTTTTGTTTGGGTTCCTCTGATTTCTTCCATTCGCAGTCTGAATCGGTCAGAATGCCTGGCTGAAGAGCCATCAGCTTCCAGCGCTCAGGGCATCAGTAATGCCACGGAGGAGGACCCTACGCCCAGCAATGCTGCCTTGTCAAGAGAAGCGTTGTGCGAGGGTATGTTTGGGTCCCGTGAATCGTGAAGAGGGTGGCGCCTTCTCAAAATTGCGTTTGAGGTTTGTTTCCTTTGAAAGCGCAATTTTAGAGGATCATTTGGAGGATGTCACTTTAAGGGAGCCATGTGGCAGTGGTAGGGGCTTTTGGCCCTGCATTCTGTGGCGCCTTTCACTTAGGCTTTTGGGGTCCCCGGAAAGTGTCGTGGCAATCCCCGATTCGTCGACCCCCTCCCAGATGCTGGTGAATCATGCTGCTTCCTTCCACCGTTGTGAGAAAGGGGCGGTTCCTTGTCAGTTTGCACGACTTGTTCCTGTTCCATTGGTCAAGCAAAGGAAGCAGCACACTCCAACAGTCCAACGCCCCCATGATAGCCCATCTATTGTCATTTGGAGAGCGGATGCTTGAGACTGCAAGAAATCCGATCGGCGGTTCATTTGTGTTTCTGCTTCTGGCCAGCTCATTGTGGGAAAGGAGCTCTTCCATGAAGGTCCCTCACTAACTACTGGATCTCGAAGGACAGATTGGTGAAACAGAATTCGTTGAGGGCGCTGGTGCACTTGGTATGCCCAGCGGTCATTCTGTTCAGAAGCACAGTCCCAAAGGAAATCCTTACGACCGCAACACTTGGCACACGTGGGTATGTGGTATTGCAATCAATAGGGGTCCCCTAAAACAGGTCTTCCGCTTTTTGAGTTGCCTTGAGAAAACAAAGGGGGGTCCAATGTTGAGCACCCCCAGGCGTCAAATAATTGCACGGAGCAGGACGGGACATGTTCTGAGGGTTGAGTTCTTTTTCATTTCTCTGCGTCCGTGTTTCTCTTTGAACATATAAAAGGACATCTCCCAATTGAAGCTTGTTTCCTGGGGGACACAGTTGTAATTTCAGGCTGGCACATGCTCCAACACAGCGAGTCGTGAGTGGCCAAACGTGCGCAGATGCCTGTAATGCCCGTCAGGTTGAGTCAGAGTTGCTCGATGAGGGAGCTTCCAAGGCAAGGATGCGATGCAAAGCTGTTAAGCTCGGGGCCATCCTTGAATTCTGAGCATTCCGTAATTCAGTACTGTGCTTGTTTGAAAGGTGGTTGTGTGATGTCAAACCCAGGGACCTGTTGGAGTCGTTGCCCAAGGATGTCAAGCGGAAACCATTTGAACGAGGTGCTCTTGGTTGCGACACATTCTCGACTTCCCGTGTATCAAACTTAGGAACATGGAAGGCTCTGAGTCTTTTTTGCTTGCTCCTGACGCCCATCAAGGGGCTTGCGTGGGGGCTCGTCTCATGACCAATTGATGTCATCAACAGTTCGCGTCTTTTTGCCAGCTCAATTGACCAAACGAGTCTTATTGACTGATTGCTGATGGACCGCCTGCCCTCGCCTTTGCCTCATGTTGGGTGCGTCCCGTGGTGAGAATAGGCGCTTCGCGATTTTGTTTCAATGTGCGTGTGCGTGCAGAGGCGACGCTGATTGAGAATCAACTGTTTCCCTTCAACCGGTGCTTTTGATGACTCAATGGAAAGGAGCTTACATTCCTTCAACCATTCTGCATTTACTTCAGACAAACAGGATTCAGACGAAAGCCACGAGGGCGCACGCATTTGATGCGAGCAGCCAATGGGGCTGTTTGAGGTGGTCACTGGGTTCACTGGCAATCGAACAGCGGACAACAACAATCAAGGGGTCGGAGCCCCTGCCGTTCTAAAGCAACCTACCACGATCGTCATTGCCCGTTTGTGTTTGGCCCTGGTGCAGGTCCGGTCCGCGCCACGTGCACATGTTAAGAGCGTGCCACGCGAGGAGGGCAAACCTGATCTGACGATGTTCTGTTGGGAGACGTTGATTGCCCAGGGCGATGAAGACCCTTGTGAGTATCCAGCAAGCTTTTGACTCTGGCTCAGGTGCTCCCCTGAAGATTAACACTAGACCCCAAAAGGTATCCTTCACGCGGAGGTTCCTGCATAGGGGCATCTTTCAGGATGCATGTTGGTTTCCTGGAGGTGCAAGCCTTGATTTGTGAGTTGATGACATCATTTCCAGTCGATCGCTTCAGCAGGAGCTGCACGATAGTGTTCTGCAGCAGGGTTGAGCCACTTTGGTTTCAATCGCTGGACCCTGGCCCCCTGCCTCACTCTGTGCGGCAAGATCTTTGAGCGATATGCGCCTTTGTTGCTGTTATTCTTCATTCAGGATCGACTTATTGACAAGTCTCCCCCCTTCGTGAGGCAGGTAGGTATCACAAAGATCTCCGAGCTCCCAGATGGTTGTTTTGCTTCTTTCTTTTGAAGTGGAGACGAAAGGGCTCCAACTCGCCGTGGTTCACTTCGATATGCTTGAAGAAGGTGGGAGGTGACTTTGGAAGAGGATGCGAATCAAAGCATGAACACGAGCCCAAAGCATGGGAACGTGTCAACACTTCAAAACACAGTGGGGGTGCTGCAGAATAGGTACGAGCTGCAGAATAGGTACGAGCGCAGCATAGGTTTTGAAGCCATGCTGTTTCAACATGTTTGTGGAGCTCAATTGCGCTCTCGAGATATCAGCGTTGGCGAAGGCTGCTGGTCAGCAAAGGCTCTTCGTAAGGCATTCTGAGGGTCAGACTGATTTGAAGGATGAATCCTATTCATGCTTGTGCAGTCATCTTAATGAGTTCTACAGCTGGTGCATTGCAGTACGGTCCATTGGAATAAGTTGCCCCCACATTTGTCAGTTCTGTCACGCCCATGTTTAACAACTGCCTTCTTAACATGTCAGCGTTTGTTGCAAGACGCAAATTTCTATCCGATTGTAACCACCAGGAATGTATGGGGTCCCATCTGGCGTCGCCGGAGGTGGGCATCTCAAAATGGGGAGATATTTCCATATCAATGCCAGCCAAAAGGGGGAGCTCCTCTGCGTCTTTTTGTTTTGCCTTTTCTTGGGGGATGAGAGACTAGCCTCAGAAGACCATTCCCTACAGGAAGCGTTCTATGGCGGCAAGGGGTCATTTCGTTCCCAGATGCACTGAGACCAAGCAAGTTTCAGCCCAGGGTGAAAGATGATGGCGCACAGCTCTCTTGTAGAGTTTATCACGTTCATTGCCAACGTGGCTGTGTGTCAAAACCAAGAACTGTGTCAGAGGGTTGGTTCAATGTCTGTCTCCTGATTCTCTGATATGATGGCCCCAAACGAGGTCCAGCTCGTATTGACTGGGTTTCACCCTGTGTTGCCTCATTTTGGTTGGGGTTCTGTGTGCCTTACACGACTGGCAAAACGAGATGTCTACGCAGGACAGTATGAATCTGGACCTATGGGTACCCAGCGAGCATGACATCATTGAGCCTTGGCAGAGTGCCGAGTTTGGGCTGTTTGGCAGGGGTGCGGAGCACGCATGAATCTGGGTTGGGCAAATTTGTTTAGAGAACCATAATGTGGCCACCTTTGAAGGGGAACCTAAACGAGATGCTTGTTTCAAGAAGGGGCTTACGCACGTTTTGGCAGGAGGCCTTTTACTGCCATGAATGCCTTGGGTATTTGTGTGAGTGGGCTGAACCAATGCGGCCCCTGGTTTGGCATTGGCTTGCACCATTTGGTGATTTCTGCACGGATCTGTTCGGAAGCACCCCAGGGTTCCCTCTATCAACACTGGTCAAAAGGAGTCCAGGAGGGACAAGATGCAGAGAGTTTCTAGATTTTTAGCCGGACGATCGCGTTGGAGTTGGGATCCCCATTTTCTTCTATTGATTGAGCATGCGGTTTGTCGTGTGCCCTGTTTCCTTTTGCCTTCCTTGCACAAGCTTTGCACACTTTCCCTGGCAGATGTTTTTGTTGTGCCCACCTGCTTTGGGTGGCAGGATTGATTTGGGAGGGCTAGACCGTCAACTGCTCTTCTTTATCGTTGCCACCGGCCCTGGCTTCGTTGTGCTTGCATTTGCCTGCTTTCCGCAGTATCTGCGCACCTCCTTCAGAACTTCTGTCTGTTTCTTGGCCGTTCGGCCTTGTGGATAATTACTTTGCCTGCGCCTTTCTGGAAGAAGCAACAGTTGTCTTGAAGTGAACGCTGCCCAGCCATTGCTCGGCTCCTGGGTCACATTGGGGCGATTGGCTAGCACGGGCCATCACACAACGTGCTTGTTGTCCGCAAACAAAGAGCTGCAACGGATACGTTAGCGTCGCATGTGTTTTTTGTCAATCTCGATATTTGAGACAATTGTCTTAGTAGGATAACGATGTCTTGCGGGAGTAAGCAAGCTCGCCCCCGATCCGGGGCATCTCTCATTCAAAGCTCAGGGTTGGCACATCTGCAAATAGCCTACCTGAAAGGTACCCAACAATTCCCAACCTTATGGCCTTATGGGTGGTGCTTTTCCAGGAGGCTTTAGGACTCGCCCACTTCACCTCACTTTCCGCGCGAGGAGAGAAAAGATGCTGGGGTCCAGGAGCTTGAGCCTCCTGGTTGAGGCCGACGTGTACGGTTGCCATCGTTGGCAGAGCATGGAACCACCGCGCAGGTCAGAAGTCTTCTTTTGGGAGACGGGAAGATCCTTGAGAAAGCTGAGGGGGGTCTTGGGGTTCCATGTCTATTTGTAGGGGCGGTGATTCTGTAGCTACGTCCCAAGAGGCAACAAGGAATAGCATTGCATTTTGAACAGCGCATTGACAGCTGCAATGGGGACATGCTTGGCGTCGTCGATGCACTGGTGGCTTTGGGTTGAGGATGATCATCAACAACCCTATCCCGCTCAAAATTGGAATAGGACTGGATCTCACGATTGGACCTAAACCACTTCCTGCATTGCCAGAAAGCTATTGAAGGAAAACTCATGGCGAGTCATGTGAGGCCGTGGGCCGTGTGTCAGAGCCCGCGGGTTTGAGTTTGGCTTCGTGGGATCATTTGGATGGCACAAACAAACTACGTGTGGATGAACTGGCCCGGTGAATGGCTTAGTGCAATCGGCATATATGTTTGGTCAACACCTGGCAATCTTCCATCCATAGACGTGTGGGGGCTCTTGAGCCTTCGGACTCCAACACATATCGTGCTTCGTAGTCTCGTGCCCGGATTGATTCAAAGTGAAGGATTCTCTCTATGGGACGCACCTCTTTTGACCAACCAGGGTCTTGTTCGCTTTGCTTGACTCGCAACCATTTTATTTGCGGAATGTCCCTCCTCCAAAATAAAGATACCCATCTCAGAACAATGATGTGAGGACAGCATCCTAGAACTCATTGGTTAGAGCCCATGTGAGGTAAACCCACGCTCAGTTGCGTAGCTAGCTCGTTCGTGCTAATTGGACAACTCAGCGAAAACCAGGGCTCCAATTGCCGGCTTGTTGCAAGTGGCCCTTTTTGCTTGTCGCATGCAGTTGGTTGCGCACGTGACCCACCGGCAAGAAGACACATGACATGGAAGAAGAAAGCGCCGAAGCCCGAAGCCGAGGATTGTGCCCACGGCGGCTCAGGGCCGTAGCAGTCTGCGACGCTGGTGGTTGTGCTTGGAGTGCTCGTGAGTGTCAGGAACGGCCAAGCTCAACTGCTACCAGTTTAATATGCTGCATTTAGCAACTTCTAACTAGTACACCATCAACGGGGCATGTGCATTTGCGGTTGAGGTTCTTAGGGCTGATGGTACGCAAAGCAGAAATGGCACAATTCAAGTCATTGGTGGAAGGCCAAATTCGATGGTCAAACATGACCAGCGGACCAGAGCATCAGCCTTCTGTTGAAGAGGGACCAACCAGCAATTGGGTGCCTCCAAAAAAGGCGGGGGTCTGCTTGAGATGCTTTGGTAGAGCACCAAGCACTCTTATTTCCCATGTTCAGACACACCATGGATTCTCAGGACCTATACAAATCACGGCCTAGCCCCAGTTGGGTGGCGGGCGCCCCTCCTTCGTTCTTGTTGGGTTTCCCTCAATCAGCGACTCAAGCAGCAAGAGCAAGCCAGCAAACAAGCAAGCACACAAGCAAAGTGCGGCTTTGTTTCCTTTTGTCCACGGCCAACAAGCAAGTGAGAAGGCCCGGATGCGACCTTTGGCTTTTAGACCAGGCTTGGTCTAGAGTTTGAATTCTCGGTGATGACCAGGCTCAGCGATTCAGCCCCCTTGTTTAAGCCATGGTTTCGACCATCAGAGATGGGATTGGGAGTGAGGGGAGAGGCCAAGGAGAAATCATGATTGGGATAGGGGTCAATTTGGCTCATTAACAGCTCTCATTATGGCAAGCCGTCCTGTGGAATTGAGCTCGCAAATGATGAAGGTCCCTAGCTCAGGAATTCAATTTTCCCGGTGGTGAATAATAAAGGCCACGTGCAGTCGGCTTCATTGCTGCTTTTGTTGTAGAAGAAGAGCACTGTCTCCATTGATCCCAAAACAGCAATGGGCGAAACGAACAGGGAAACCAGCCTTGAGAATCGTGCCAAATCCATGACTCATGAGAAAGAAACAAAGGGCGGATCCTTGCCAAGCCGGCAGCCTGAACTCGGCGCGCATGGGCTGCCCGTTCCTGTTTTGGACGAACGGGCGGCGCGCCCTGGGCGAGTTTCCGCGACTGAGAGGAGTCGCCAAGTTCAAACGGGGCCGCGCTCGAGTGGCCACTCATGTCACCGTCGCGTTAGTCTTGTGTGGAATTTGGCAATATGGACCCTTTAGGATATGGTGTGAGGGTGGAAAATGACAGCGAGGATAACTTGGAAGGCTGCTTAGCTTTGGCAAGCCTGGATATTGGGCTTATCTCTTGATTTGGCGACCCATTTTGACTACTAGGGAACTCAGCCATCACCATGGGCAAATACAGGCGCATCCTTCTTCCGCCAAACTGTTGCCAGTCCCATCATCAACAGTTGTGGCGGAACGGACTGAGGAGTGCCTTCATGAGTTCATTCAAGCAAGGCCAATGAGCGCATGTTGTTATGTGTACTACTTATGAGGCAGGTTCGGAGAATTCAGTTGATCTTTAACACGGGTAGCAAAAGCTTTTTTTGTGAAAGGCGTGCTTGCTTTTGAGGTCGGAGTATTTCATCGTAGTATGTTTGAATATGTACGCCTACGTAAATATACATTCTAGTGTAGAGAGATGTGTCCAGTATATCAGTATATATATATATATGTATATATATATATATATATGTATCTACACATGCACATTCACCCATATATATATATATATACATATATATATATATATGTATCTACACATACACATTCATCCATATATGTATATATATATATGTGAACCATCATCGTTTCAGTGGTCGATGGACCACACTGCTAGCAGCTGGACCTGCAAGAAGGAGTGTTTGGTTTGCAAAGCAGGAGCTGTTTGGACATAAGTTACAGTTTGCTAATGTCTATTGGCCACCAATCCGTACCTCAACGTATGAAAGCTGCCCAATCAAGTGATGTGTTCAAGCATTCGCAGCATTGTTTACCTGGAAGCATTTTGAAGCCTGTGGTTGTAGGCCAGTACGAGGGTCTACCTGAACGTGAATCACCCTACAGATGCATTAATCCTCTGATTGGCATGCTCGAGCGCAAAGAATGCCACAAGTGCCTTTCCTCCGGGGTCCGACGAGGCAGGGAAGGGTGAGCCCAACGAAAGATCCTGTTTCTGGTGTCTGTGGAGCGGCAGAGGCTTGCGCGCTTCAGCTTTAGCCATGTATGGCTGGAGGCTGGTGAGTAGAGTAGGATTGTCAACAACATGACTGGCCCACTGCTTTTCCTGGAGGTTCGGAAGCGAAGATCCTAGGTCGCTTCGTTGGGCCTTCACCCTCTTCCCCCTCCCTCTGAGCCCTTGGTGTCCAGTTTGCCGGGTTCCGTTGGACTGTGCCCCGACATCCAACCCCTCCGACCAAAGCATAGGGCCGCCGAAGACAGGAAGGGGGGCAAGTTCCAATTTCAGTCCTGGTCGCAAAAGTAGCCTCCATGTCCGGGTCAACTTGAGGCAAGCGAGTTATAAAGCACATCTTGGAGAGTCCAGCGCGATTCAAAGGCTGCTCCTGGCATGACCCCCTGATGAGCGGACCAACAGTGCATTACCATGGCTATCTAATAGCTTCGTACGTTGGGGCAAATAGCTACCTCACCTATCGGAGGTTTGGGACTGGTGAATTTCTGATAACTAAAGGTTCCTTTCGTAGGGAAGCTTCTCGATTGGTGCAGATGGTTCAGGGGTACTATGGATATGTGTCAAAACTAGGGACCCAGTCTAAAGAGCTCCGCCAACGCCCTGTATCCCTGAAGATCTGTTTTGGCAAGTTTTTTGTACACTCCCATGGATGTTTCTTAAAGGGCAACCTACCCAGGTTGGCTTTGACATCTCAACCATCCAAATATCCAAATACAGGGTTCCTTGTTCTGAGACACCCCCATGTTTTAGACTGTCTCGTTTTGTTTTTTAATCATGAGACGTGCACGTCCTTATCGGCGATCCACAGTCCCACGGGCCCCCCCAGCCAGGCGAAGCCGTTTACTTTGAATGGCGAAGTGGCTTCACTCGCAGCAATCCAGTTGTTTGCTTGTTGAGCATCATTCATTGGCAATGTGAATGAGTGTGCAAGAAAGTGTGTTGTTATCTTCTTGATATGCTATTGGTGTGTGCATTTGCTGAAGAGACATTGCAATCACCCTTGCCGTATGCTTGCAGGTCTAGTGTTGTGTTTTTTGCGGGGACGGGACTTCGTGTTTCTCCTCATTTCGATAGTTGGGAGTCCCTGGCATGCTGGATGTTGCAACTAGTTGACTCGAGTGCTGCCACTCTGCCTTCCAAGTCTGATGTAGCGCTGGCCGAAATCTTCGCCCAGATGCCGCTTGATGGACTCCGCTGGACTGGGTCTATTTTGTGTTTGTTTGTCAGCAGCACCAACGAGACAGCATACTATTCTGCCCTGACCGTGGGGTGTACCCTGGACTTTTGCCGTCCCTAGGATGACATCAGAGTGGCCAACCTTGCAGCGATAGCTGTCGTTTCTGAAGTGCACAGGCACAGGAAAATGCCATTGGATCGCGCGTCGGGCTTCGTCGGACAACGGTGGGAGGGTACGAAGCCGGTAGATACATTCATCGTCCGCAATCATGCAGAGAGTTGTATCTGATTTAAAGGGATCCCTCCAGAAAGAAACAGAAGCTGGGCGGCACTGGAGAAACAAACGTTGAACTTGAAGGGGACCCCGTGGAAGCCCTCTGGGAGGCATCTAAGCTTCATTCCAAAGCGGAAGCCGCATCCCGAAACAAGGGTACCTTAGGGAAGAAATGAGCAAAACTGGGCACCGGGTTCAACGAGGCACATGGAAGACCGAGCTGAGGCCCCCGCCGGACCCGCCGGCGGCGCCCAGAAGCCCGCCGCTGCCGCCCCCGCCCCCGCCGGCGGGGCTGGCGGCGCTGCCGGACATGCGGCGGACTGAGGTGGTTCCTCAAACAAGGCGGTTCTAAGAAACGAAAAACCGATCGCTTGCACCAAAGGA